AACCAGAACAAGAATTTATAAAATATGTATCAGGTTTCTATACTGCACTAGAAAGTCACATTAGGAAAAAAGAAGATGTTTACATAATTTTTGTTGAATAAAACATAAAATAATTGTTGTTATAAACGAAAGAAAATTCTCATTATGTACTTAAATATTCGATGAATTTTTATTGATTTGATCAATTTAAACAAATATAGTGACTATGTCTATACTTGAGATATTTTAAAAATCATTAAAACTATGAAATGAAAGAAATACAATTCTTTTCAAATATGGTAAAGTCATAAGCAATATAGAATGTCTATTAAAGATGTTATAAATAGTTGTATCATAAAAACTGAAGTGTGTGAAATAATAACTTTAATAACTTCAAAACTATACATAACTAAAGTCATGGAGGAAATGGAAATAAGCTTTAAATCTTTAGTTTTTAATTTGAATACTATTTTTTTATTCTTATTTTGCGAAATCACATTAAATGATATTTTTATTTTTAACCACAGTAATTTTGTTGGTACAGCTACGTTTGATAGTTCATCAGGTAAAGTTAAACGTTCATCAGTTCAAGCTTGACGAAAAAATAAATTCATCGTGTATGACTATATACATATATTAAAATAAGAAAGAAGATATTAAAATCAATTATTTTATACTATATCAAGTTCTGCAATAGGTCCTAAATGAAATAATATATGGAAGAATAGATGAACTTTTTTTCAAACTTACCTAAACTAATAATCATTAAATAAATTTGAATATGAATTCAGTCTTCTACATAAATCAGAAAATAATAATTTTTTGTTGTTTTTTTTTCTTGAATAAATGGTATCTACCAATATGATTAGGACTTAAATATTTATTATATTGAAAAAATAATTTATTCAAAAAACATGTTAAATTATTTGCTCTTAGGCAACATGTTTCATTTAAGAAATATATATGGATAGGTTGCAAAAAAAATACACTCAAAAAGAATATTTATCACATTGTTCTTACTGTTTACTTGTTGTTCTTTTGCGTTTTTATATATTTTAACTGATGTTTTCTTATTGACTACTGATTATGTGTATCATCTTTTACTGAAAATTGAATTATTACAATTGAAAGTATCACTAAATATTGTCAGAAACAAGAACATATCATTAAATTTATCAACTAAAAAACTCTTAAAGATGTTTCTATTCTATCAAAAGACTATAATTAAGTCTCATCAATAATGATAAGATATATAACATGACTAAAGAATTGATAATTTAATATTAAAACATTTGAAAACAAGCTGTATTGAAAAAAAAAGAATACCATTCTATTATATCATCTAATACAATATGGATGTCAGTGGCGGCGGAGCGTGGAGGCTCAAGAGGCTTAAGCCTCACTTGGATTTCAGTCGTGGAGGCTCAGCCTCACTTAGTTTTGGATTGAATATTATCTTTTATTATTAGAATTTGTTATGCTCAGCATCCGAAATAATTAGATATATATTCTAACATATCTATCTTATAACGCGATTCACATGCACCTATTTTTTATATATTTTTCTTTTCTCTATTCTTCTATCGTATAGACATCACATACAGCTTATATATGTACATATATATATATATCGTGTATTTTTTTTTCTTTTCTTTTCTTTTCCTTGGATTTTTCCCTTTTCTATATGGTGTTCAGGTATTTTCCCTCTTTTTTACATGTTTTCTTGTTTATATGTTTAGTTTTTCCCTATTTCGTTTATATATGTTTTATCACCAAAACGTTTTGTTTTTTCCAAGCGCATGCACACACACACACATGTATATATATATGTGTGTATAATATACATATAGGTATAGATATATTATTTCGGCAATAAAGAAGTAACTCAGTAGTGATCGGATTGATTTATATCCTCTTTACAGTGTATTAAATGGCTGAAAAACGTCCAAACATTCATCCATTTTTCACAGTAAAAAAGAAAAAACCAACAAAGTCAACAGAAGATGCTGAATCAAGTCCTGATTTATCAACTTCGATCAATGATGTTAACAACGTAAATACTGAAGAAATTTCAGATGAAGGTTCATCCATTGTGGTTGTTGATGATCAGCGAGAAGAGGATGTATCTTCTTCGTTTACCGATGATCAATCAGGAAAACAATTGTCAAAGTGTGAATTAGTCTGTTGTGCGTCATTAACAATGTACGTGCCTGCAAGTGCGTCAGAATTACAATCAACGTTAACACAAGACAAACGATCTTGTCAAGTATTATGGTTCAATATTTATTCTTGGCTTACTTTTTGCAAAGTACGTTGCTATAAAAAATACTTTCTACGAGTAATTTTTAAAAATTTAGACAACAAAAAAACTGTACTGTTTCTCCTGTCGTGCTGCTGTTAATCAGAAACTTCATCAACCAAATGGTTTAGCAGCTCATATGTCGTTTACGTCTTCAGGATTCTCTGATTGGAAAAACGCTCTTCGTGCGCTTGCTCAACACAACAGCAGCAGATTCCATTCCGAATGTTTATATATATCTCAACAACAATCAAGACCATCTGTCATAGCACGAATTGATACAGCATCAAGACAACAGCAAGAGCAAAGGCGGCAATTGCTAATGGCTGAAGCTTCGTCTTTACAATATCTTTTACGACAAGGTATACCCTTTCGCGGGCACACCGAGGTGGAGGGAAATCTCATTCAATTAATGCGGTTAAGAAGTGCCGATATTCCAGGTCTTCATCAATGGTTAGATAATAAAAGATATTTGTCGCACGATATTATCAACGAGTTGGCCAAAGAAATGGCACTGATTATTTTAAGAAGTATATGTGTTGAGGTAAATTTTAAAGTTAAATTTTTCGTGTTATGTGATGATTGTTATTATGTGCTCTAGATATCTGAGAGACCATTTTTTTCTCTCATTTGTGATGAATCAACTGATGAGTCGGCTAAAACACAACTGAGTATTTCAATTCGATCGGTAGATGCGTGCTTTGGTATACATGAAGATTGCCTCGGTCTTTATGAACTAGAATCTCAAAATGCTGAGCATATCACCACAGTTATTCTCGATGTTCTTCTTCGCTGCAGTTTGAGTCTCGATGCTTGTCGTGGACAAGGGTATGATGGGGCTGCAACAATGAGTGGCATACATGATGGTGTAGCAGCTAATATACTTCGAAAACAAAAGAAAGCATTTTTTGTGCACTGTAACGCACATAGTCTTGATTTGGCTTTACAAGATCTGTCAAAGGAGTCAATTGCAATTAATACAGCAATCAATGTTACAAAGGACATAGTGAATTTTGTTCGAAGATCACCAAAGCGTTTAAATATTGCTGAGAAACTCTCTTATGATTTATCTATTAAATCCTCTCAACTTAAGCCTTTGTGTCCGACTCGTTGGACTGTTCGAGCATCATCGATGAACTCACTACTAACTAATTATCAGCTTGTCAAATCTGTGATGCAAGAAGTAGTTGATCAAAAAGGTACATCGGGTGTTGCAGCTGCTGGTTGGTTAAATCAAATGGAAAATTTTCAAACATTTTTTGGTCTTAAATTAGGTAAAGTTTCTTGAAAATTTTTCTTTACTCAAATCGAATCTGCTGTTCACATTCTCAGCTAGAAATATGTTTAAAAATATTTTTTTATTTGTCTTATATAATTAGGTCATCTCATTTTCGTGGCTACTGAAGAACTTTCTTGCTCGTTACAACGTGTAGAAAATAGTTTACACGATGTACTCTGTGCTGTTAATGTGCTGATTAACTATTTTACCAGAATAAGATCAGACGAGTATTTCGAAAATTTCTACTCAAAATTGGTGGCTGAAGCAGAATACTTGACGGATGAACCACGAATGCCACGCAATCGTCGACCACCTTCTCGATTTATTACTGATGCTACACAAATACCTAGAATACCGTCAACCTGCACTGAATTATACAAAAATCAGTATCAAAATGTGATTGATGGAGTACTCAAAGCATTGAACAATCGGTTTAAGCAATCCATTTTTCCTTTATTATGTGAAGTTCAAGAGTTTTTAATCACGGTTGCAAATGGTTCTGAATCAGATATTATTGATAAACTTTGTGCTGAAATACAAGAGTTTGTAGTGGGTGATATTGATTGTGACAGATTAAAACAAGAGTGTGCAATGATTCCTGAGTATTTTCAAACAGTTATTCGCGACAAACAACTGGGAATAAAAAAAATCACGAAAATATCGACAATTATCGATGTATTGAACATACAACCAATTGGGAAAACAATATTCCATCAATTTAATCGTCTTCTGCGACTTTATCTGACCATGCCGGTGACAACAGCTACTGCAGAACGATCTTTCTCAGTGATGAACCGATTGAAAACATGTTTGCGATCAACTATGACGCAAATTCGTTTAAATAGTGTCATTATGACACATATATACAAAGAAAAGACAGATTCTATTGATCTGAAAAGTCTCTGTTCAATTTTTGCATCGCAGAACGAACAGAGAAAGTTATTTTTTGGTTCGTTTTAATTTTGTTTTATTTTCATGATGACCGTTGTAGTTTTTACTGAGGTTTAATAAAAAGAAGACTTATATTTGCTTCATGTTTTAATAAAAGTTCATAGTAGAGAAAAAATATTGTGAGCCTCACTTAGATTAATGACGCTCCGCCGCCCCTGATGGATGTTGACGTTTAAAGAGAAAGAATAGAAAGGACAGAAACGAA